TTCCGAGCAAACCCTATCAGAGATACAACAACCAAGAAAACTAAACCAACCCACCAACTCCCTCCCGAACGTGCCAGCACACAGCAGCCACGGTAAAGAGAGTTAACTCTTTCCTGACTGAACCCAGCACAAAGGTGCAGTGACCTACTCAGTCACGCAGAGATTGAGTATTCTCAGACACTGAGTTGTGTGTGATCGTAAATACTATTACAAAATAACGAACCAAGTATTTACCAATAAGACTTTCCCTCCAGTCCAACTTCTCGGCACAGACGTTATCAAACTGCCCCATTTTCGCGATTTCTGCCTGGTGCTGTGCGAAGGCCAGCTGCAGGAGAGTAAGCATTACTTGTGAGATGGAAACCAAGCCTGTGCTGGGCACGGAACACCCACCTCCATGCTGCGCTGCACCTCAGCTAGCTAACCACGCTTGCTCCTAACAGTGTGCTGCGCTGCACCTCAGCTAACCACGCTTGCTCCTAACAGTACTGGGGTACTCCCCGGGGAAATCCCTACTAAGGGAAGTTTGCTACCCAAACAATTTAACAGAGCTAATGCGAGTCCTTCCTGGGAGAGGACAAAGGCTGCCGTGATGGCTACCTCCGAGTTCCTCTCCAAAGGCAGTCCCAGTTACCTAAGGAGCCAACTTCAAAGATACAAGCTCAGGGCAAAAGTCATCCCACATCTTGAAATGTTTCTGGATTAAAACCAGAGACAGCTCCTGCACAATTACTAAATAAAACATCAGGACGTTCTATTTTTAAAGAACTCCCACTGACAAGTACCTGTGTGCGTTACAATTTTGCCTCACAGTCTGCAGCTGATGATCAAACAGAAAAAGGTAAGTCAAGTCCCTCTTTGCTGACTCAACCCCAGGGCCCGGCCTGGCAGTCCTCTGGCACTCGAGGGCCGTCCCCCTCTCTGGCGCTGCGATATTCCTGGGTCTGACGACAAGGTGTGAGGACCGAGATTTTGTGGTTGGGCTACAACCCAGGGCAGCATAAATTCCTCCTCTTTAAAACCAGTACCACTGCACAGCCAGCTACTGCGGCACCATCACTGAAGCATCCTTCTCTGGTCTATGACACGGCAAGCGCGGTTTTAGCCAAGGCCTCTTTAAAATGGAAAAACCCCAACGCCACCACCATGTATTTCCTCCTTAAGGATCCTCTACCAAGCTGCTTTAGACAGAGCTCACACCTCCCTCGCCCACACAGTGAAATCACGGTGCCACTGCTCTGTGCACCTCCGCGGTTGGCCGGGTTTCTTTTGTTCTGCTTCCAAGACATCTGTCGACGTGCACAACGAACCACTCATCCCTTTATTTGCTCTGCAGTCAATTGTTGGTTTACGTAAACTAACTGAAAGAGGTGAATAACCTTGACTCCCTCATAACACTGAAACGTTAAGACTAAAAGCCATTAAGATTTCAGAACAACTTACCTTATACAAGTAAAGCCAATTCCACGCAAAACTGATGAAAAAACTTAGTAGTAACAGACGTCTGAGCTGAACCAAGGAGTGAATACGTGTCCAGAGCTCTGTAGCTATTACAACGACAACACATGCCAAGCACAGGAGTATCTGAAAAAGAAAACAGGAAAAAATGGTGACCCAGATTTGGGATTATCCAGGCTTACTGCCAGTGCACGAGGGAACCTTCAACTTCTGTTTCTACTGGCATCATTTATACAGAAGAGTGCTCTAAGGTCTCCCCGGAGCCTTCTCTTCTCCAGGCTGAACAAGCCCAACTCTCTCAGCCTGTCCCCATAGCAGAGGTGCTCCAGCCCTCGGAGCATCTCCCTGCCCTCCTCTGGACTTGTTCCAACCGGGCTATATCCTTCTGATGTTGGGGGCTCCACAGCTGGACGCAGCACTGCAGGTGGGGTCTCACCAGAGCAGAGCAGAGGGGGAGAATCCCCTCCCTCGCCCTGCTGGCCACACTGCTCTGGATACAGCCCAGGATACGGTTGGCTTTCTGGGCTGCCAGCGCACACGGCCGGCTCATGTCCAGCTTTTCATCTACCAGTACCCCCAAGTCCTTCTCCTCAGGGCTGCTCTCTATCCATCCTCCACCCAGCCTGTACTTGTGCTTGGGATTGCCCCAACCCATGTGCAGGACCTTGCACTTGGCCTTGCACAACAGGAAGAACTGTTTTATGTGTGGAGATGGTAACAGTCACTGGCTAGGCTTGCACAGTGGATTAAACAGCAAAACACCCACCCCCCACCCCGAAGAAACAACAAAACCCCTTTCTTCTTCTCTTACCAGAAACATACTATATAGATCAATTCCAAACGTGTCTTCAAATTTCCAGTGCCAAGCTTTATAGTCATGGGGCTTAAAATTGATCAAAATATCGCTGAGTGCATCATCCACAGCCCCCGACTGCCACGTTTCTTCATTGAGAAACTTGAGGATCTCCAAATACGTCTGTTTTGTAAGGATGATCTCAGCATCGTAATGGACGTGATCCACGTTTTCCTCAGGCTGAATTAAAAGCAGAGCGAAACAATGGTTAAAAGCTGCTTATTTGGAAACAGAAGTACAGCCAAGAACCCCCATCCCTGTGCAAAGCCCACTGCAGACCTCGTCAGGCACCAGCAGCTTTTCAAACAGGCTGCAGGGCGAAGACGTCGGACAAGGAGCGCACGATGATTCCACGAACTTTCTGTTCACTTTTCTACACTATATAAAACAAATCCAGCTAGTTTGTGTTCTCCCAATGCTACAGCAAAAACCTAAAAAAAATGAAGTGGGTTGTCTCACCTTTTATTAAAATTTTAGAGCCACTTCTCATTAACAGGTGCTAATTACTCTGCCATGTGTGCCCCGGCCATCGCTGGGCAGTATGGATAGAAGCCAAGTACTGAAATAAGGAATTTTACAATGCTAAGTGTAACGTTCTTTGGTTTTATCCCTCTACCTCTGAATAAAAAATAACGTATCTCCAAAGACAATCTAGTGAAGAAAGTAGTAAGGTGATTCTCACATACCAACTCTAGTAAGGGACTACTCCTAGACAGTTAATGCGGTAGAGCCTAAACCAAAGGCCTAAAAGGTCCACAACAAATGCGCAGACACAATCTGGCTCTCTCAGTTTAACACGAGCTCTAGCTGCATTCCAGCAACAGCCAGGTAGACAGAGGCTCTGAATTCCCGCAGGCTTCCTCTGGATTTTTTACGTAGGGAACGGCAGGCGCGCTCCTCCCCAGCCGCACCGCTGGATGCTCAGCTCCCATCGTTTCTTCCGCGGCAGTTCAGTTCCCCTCATTTGGATGCAAAGTCAGCCAGAGTAATTACTCAATACTTGATAACTGTGAAAAACACATGAAGTAGTAATACGAATTCTAATTAATTTTTAATGAATGTTCAAATACTTACAAGGCCGACTTTTCCAGCTTCATTTAAAATCTTTTTCAAGTATCGCTTAAAAATGTAAAAGCTGCGGTTTTCACGTGATTTGGCATTCCTCGTCTCACACTCTGCAATCTGCAACGTAAACACGCCGTACTTACTTCTTGCTCAAAGCAGCTGGTTCGCAGGAAGAAAACCCCGGCCTACCAACACATCACACTCGGGATCAACAGAGGCACATCCCTGCAGGGGAGCAGTAATCCCGGGACTCGTACCCCAGATAAAAAGCATAAGCAGGTGCTGAAGACGCTGCTCTCCCCAGGGCTGGCCAGTACTGGAGATTTCAGATCTGCCCATGATACAGTCTGAATATTAACCTCGGTAAAACCAGAAAAAACCAGAGATCTGGATCTCCTTAGATTTTGTTTATGTAAAAAAACCCAACCAGAACTGTAAGAATGGCTAAGTAACTAAAACAGCATTAAAATGACATATTCCAAGGGCCACAGGGGTGGCTCCTGT